CTTCCATATGAATAGGACTAATCATGGCTTTGCTTTTCTTGAAAAGAAGATTTTTTTTCTACATGTTTCTAGGTAAAACATAGATTTCATGTTGTGACCCCGCCCTATCCCCAGAGGTCATGATTTGAACAAGATTGAATGTCCACTACCTGAGGATGCTTCCATAAAAATATGATCATTCATGACTTTGTTATTCTTGAGAAGATTTTTAAAGAGTTTTCTATATGTATTTCTATGAAAAAAACTATGATCGGCTGTTGAAGCCCCGCCCTACCACCAGGGGTCATGATTTGAATAAACTTGAATCTCCACTATCCGAGGAAGCTTCCATAAAAATATGATCATTCATGCCTTTTTCATTCTTGAGAAGAAGATTTTTAAAGAATTTCCCTATATATTTCTATGTAAAACTTTGATCGGCCATTGTGGCCCCGCCCTATCACCGGGGGTCATGATTTGAACAAATCTGAATCTACATTACCTGAGGATGTTTCCCTATAAGTTTCATCTTTCCTGGCCCATTGGTTCTTGAGAAGAAGATTTTTAAAGAATTCTCCTATATATTTCTATGTAAAACTTTGATCGGCCATTGTGGCCCCGCCCTACCCCCGGGGGTCATGATTTGAACAAATTTGTATAATCTACACTACCTGAGGATGCTTCCCTATAAGTTTCATCTCTCCTGGCACATTGGTTCTTGAGAAGAAGATTTTGAAAACATACAATCAAAGAACAAGGTTCACTTTTTAATTATTTGGCCCTGTGAATTTCTGAAAAACTGAAACTGCATAGTTTTAGTTAATAATGCATTGAATATCACTTAAATAGTTGGTTACTGCGTACCTATCAAAAATGACGTAATTTTCTGTCTAGTCATTGCATTATGACGTCACGAATTGCGTCAATTTCCTCATATTCTGAAAAAGTCTACAAAAACGGCCAATTTTTAAAGCTATTTTTCGATATTTAAGCTATGTCACTCGCCCACTTTTTAGAAAAGTTCACACATAATCTATTTCTTCTTAACTATTTGTTATAATTCAGTTTGCAGAACATATTTAAATTCAACAATGTATATTATTCAACATTCAATGAAAAAACTGCTCAAAAATCCACAAAGAAGCAAGATTTATGAGGAACTATTCCTTGTGGTGGAAGGATATTTAGCAGAAAATTCTGCAAATCTACACATTTATTAAATTTAATATCTTGGAACTTTAGCCTTACATACTTTTACTCGGAGAATATTTTTTGTTATGAAATGCTGGGAATATTATATAGGTCTCAATTTATATTTTTTGAATAAATTTTACACCTTCCCTCAACAAACTTTGCCGAGAAATGAAGATATGTTAAAAAAGTCAAGATAAAATTTGCACCGTTTTTTGCCTGAAAATCAAACGTTTTGACCAAAATTTCAAAATTAACATCACTGACCCCAACTTTTTCTTTCATTATTTTAAACTATAGGGTATTTGTGACTGATCAGCACTTAAGTCGTAAAAAGTTTGATACAAGAAAATAATTTATTGCCCATTTAGAATATTAATACCCAAAATATGTTACTTTTTAGTGCAAAAAGGTCACACAATATTTTACGCGTATTAATTTGCACGAATTTTTCAATGATAGATATTTTTCAAACTATTTTACGTAAAATAAGATTATATTCATTGCCATGGTTACATCTAAATAAAATATTATAAAGGTTAAATTAATTAAACAAAGAGTTAAAATTTAAGTGCAAAAAGGTTCCCTTACCAAAGTAAAATTATTGCAGCAATATTGCCGCTATATTGCGGCAACATTGCAGCAACACATTTTTGTCACCAGAAACAAGCTTTTTGGGTTAGTGAAATATCACCGCTAGCGGCAACAACTTCTGGTGACATTCTGGCAATACTGCCAGAAAAAAAAAACTTTCTGGCAATATTGCCAGAATTTCGCCAGAAGATCTAGGATTACCCATTAGGCATTTGTGAACATGCTCAGTCATTTACTTCCTCTTTTTAAATAAAATGGAGGGAATTCAAAGGCAAGCATGTTTTGCTTCATTATTGAATGGTATCAAGTTAACTGGAGTTGTTAATTGTGTACAATAGGATTAGACATGATGACTAGTAAGACTGAATAATGTGGAATAGCCAGAAAAAAAGAATTTCAGTGGTTTCCATGGCATGGCCTTTTGAAAGAATTATAGGAATGTCTAACTCTGTTTTCATGGTACATGTATATATATCAAACTTGGTAAGTCAAAACCATATTCTTGTTTAGATGAATGATTCTATGGAGATAAAATAAGAAAAATTACATGTATTTCAACTAGTGCTTGTGATGCATGTATACTGTACTTGTATGTCTAATATATATTATACCATTGTTGCAGGAAAAGATGAATGCATGTTATCAATTAAATGCATGAACATATATAATTAATTTATTGCATAAATCTGAATACCTGCAAGAAAATAATGATTCTATATATATATGTTGGAAAATACAAACAAGCTATATATTATACATTATACTGATTAATTGGCATTGGGGAATATGTGATCGGCAGCTAATTAAGGTTATCTGAAAAATGATGCAGAGTTGCTGGACATTTTCACAGTGGCGTATTAATATTTTTCATATACTAGTACACATTTTTTATGTGCCCGGATTGATAGTTTTGGGGTGCATATTGTTTTTGTCCTGTCTGTTTGTAAACTTGAACCTTCGCCATAAGTGATAATTTTTGAAGCAATGAGAGGTAGAGACTTCATATTTGTACTCCACTTATTAAGTCCTTTTAAATGACACCAAGGTCAATGACCTTGTGACCTTGACTGTGACCTATATGCTAAAAATAGTTTTTTAATTGAATATTCACCATAATTTAAAAACCATGAGAAATAGAGACTGTATATTTAGTATGCATACTCAACTAATTTAGGTCTTTAAAATGACACCAAGGTCTTTGACAAGAACCTTGGCTGTGACCCATATGATTAAAATAGATTTTTTGAACCTTCGACATAACTTTTAAACCATGAAAGATCGCAACCTTATATTTGGTATGCATTCTCCACTAATTATGCTCTTTCAAATGACACCAAGGTCAATGACCTTGTGACCTCTGCTGTGATCTATATACTAAAAATAGCCTTTTAAAACCTCCACCATAAATTTTGAACCATAAGAGATACAGACTTCATATTTAGGATGCATATTCCACTAATTAAGTTCTTTCAAATGACACCAAGATCAATGACCTTGTGACTTTGACTGTGACCTATATGCTAAAAATGGTTTTTCAAACTTTGTTGCCGCTTGTTTCAAAAATACATCTTTTTTCAACAAAATTTTTCTATCTTTTCAAAGAATAGCATATATAAGCTTAAGTAGCTATTTCTTACTGACTCTGTAGCTTATTATGCTATTGATTTTTATGTCCCTCAGCACCATATGTTAATTGTTAGACTGATAGATAATTTTTTCTATTAAATACCAATTTATATAGGTAGTACTGCATGCCGTGTTGCCCCAATATTGCTGCAGCAAAACCTGAAATAATACATGTACTGCAACTGCTTTGCAGCAATATTGCCGCAACACCTTTCTGGCAATATTGCCGCAAATCTAATTTACATACGAAAAACGATATTGCCGCAATATTGCTGCAATATACTGCCAGAATGTTGCTACAATATTGCCGCAACACTTTTCTGGCAATATTGCCGCAAATCTAATTTACATACGAAAAACGATATTGCCGCAATATTGCTGCAATGTATTGCCAGAATGTTGCTGCAATATTGCGGCAATAATGCCAGAAGATGTTGCCAGAAGGTGAGTATTTTGGTGAGGGTCACCTTAGTTGTACCGTAGCTCAGTAAAACGCACACTGACCCCCTACTTTCTCTGCGATTTTGAGTCATACTATATGAGTACTTATCCAAAATATACTTCTCAAAAAATCCTTGACTTAACAAATTTCACGAGTGACATACCTTAATACAGAGCGCAACCTCTGATCTAAAATAAGCAATTAGTAAATGATAGAACTGTTTCTGAGGATTAAAAGACATATTTTATTTTTTAGATCAGAGAGTGCGCTCATATTATTTTTCTTCACTGAAAGTACTCCATTATACATGTTTACCTAAAAATTCAAAAACATTGCAATTTCATGAAGCCAGTTCTCCAAGACCTGGACTTTTAGGAGAAAATTTTTAATAGGATATGAAAGTACCAAGTCTCTATTTTATTTCAATACTTTGAATGGAAAATCAAGTGTTGATCAATCAATTGGTATATCTACAGGGCCATTTTATGCGTAAAGTGAACTGACCTCTTTTCATTATTTCTGAATTACCTCCCCTTCAATAAGGGCGTGGCCCTTCATTTGAAAAAAAAACTTGAATCCCCTTTACCTAAGGATACTTTATGCCAAGTTTGGTTGAAATTGGCCCAGTGGTTCTTGAGAAGAAGTCGAAAATGTGAAAAGTTAACGACAACAACGAAGACAGACAACAGACTAATTTTGATCAGAAAAGCTCACTTGAATCTTTGGCTCAGGTGAGCTAAAAAATTATAAACCTGCTGTTTCTAAAATTGGAAACGTTCATCTGTGAAGCAGCAATAGTGCTGATGTCACAATAGTCTTTATAATTGGATGTTTCTAAAAACAGATACTTCAGCTGCTATTCATTACTGTGACGTCATGATGCAAATGACATGTAACAATGCCTTATATGAGAAGGTTATGGAGTATTAGAAGGAAGGATTTAACTAATAAAAAAAATAATAAAACAATTGTAGCCTTTTGATTCGCTACAATCCCTAGATATAAAGAAGTGTTATAGACTGGATGTTTCTATTTTTAAAAAAATTATAAACCACGCTTCTAAAATTGGAAACGTTCATCTGTGAAGCAGCTATAGTGATGACTTCAATAGTCTTTATAAACTGGATGTTTCTAAAAACAGATACTTCAGCTGCTATTCATTATGTGACATCATAAAGTAAATGACAAAAACAATGCCTTATATGAGAAGGTACTGAGTATTAGAAACATTGATTTTAAGACATTTCTTATTAAGTGATAAAAAATAATAAAACAATTGTAGCCTTTTGATTCGGTACAATCCCTAGATATATAGACCTTAGAGAAAGCATATCCACCTTGCACTTGGTCAATATGCTTTCTCTATATATCTAAGGATTGACCTTGTATTGTAATTGTATATTAGTTACTAGTATATAGAGCATATAAAAATTGAATAATACTAATTATTATATTCAAAAATATAAAAAAATATTATACTAAACTGTTCAAAGTTTGTTTTAAAGATTTAATAAAATGTTCTCTCACTTTGATACAGGTGTGTAATATTTTACAAGTTTAAAAACAACACAATTGGTAGAACTACAATTCTACTCATGACAGCTATAATTTTGCAAATGATATGGACCAAAACAAAAAATTATCTTCCAACAGAGGGAACAAGCATATGACTTCCAGTAGAAGATAAGATTGCCTGCATTGTTCCTCGATTCTTTCGAACAATGGATTTTGCCTCTTTTGAAGTTGCCCTGGGAGGCAGGCGTGGGGACCGACGAGCTTTACTGCCTTCATACATCAGTCTGTCCATACGTCCTCCTTTGTCTAAATTTGCCATTTCTTCCCCTTCTGGTTTGACCCTTGGTGGATTAGGTATATCACAAGGATTATTGCCATATCTTTGCAATATACTGTTCATGCGTCCACCTTGATGTTTCTCTGCAATTTCTTCTGCTTCAGGTTTCACACGAGGTGGCATGCGATTTGACAAAGATGTACCAAATCTTTGTAAATTTTTCATCATCTCTGCACCCTCCCTGCATGCTGTTGTAGATGCCTCAGGTTTTACTCTTGGTACTTTTCTCCCTGATTGGGGGATTTTACTTGGATCGTGCATTAGGTTACGCATAAATTCTCCTGAACTTTTCATAGCAGTTTCTGTTGCTTCAGGTTTAACTCTAGGCTCTTTACGAGCGGAAGCAGGAAGTCTTCCATGATTACTAAACAGTTCACTAGTAGATTTTCCTTTATGATGTTCAGCAATGTTTTCTGCTTCTGGTTTAACTCTGGGACACGGAGCAAGTTCTGGTCGGGATGTAGCTGAACCATTCAAAAGACAAGACACAGTGCCATTCTTTCCAAGTTCATGATTTCTCTTGCCATCTTCCGTCTGACATCGGGTTTCACATCTTGGAGTTTGTGGAATAGATCTAGGTGTTCCACTTCCAAAAAGATCAAGAGAACCTTTATTTTTGTTTGCAAACTCCTCAGCTTCTGGTCTTACCCGAGGTGCCTTCCGAGGAGTGTAGTAGTTGTTTGTCTCATCGTACCCTGGATATGGACCGGAAGGTGTGGGATCTTTCTTGTCAAATAGCATATCTGAAAGAAAAATAAAATCCTACAAACTAGTAATTTACTTATAGAATACTCAGTAGTTGTCTTCTCGTTTGCTGTTTTCAAACGCTGTTTCAAGTATGTTTTCATATGACCTTAAAAAATAGTGTAGTCGATAAAACAGAATGTTTTCAGCAAAAAAAACCGAAATTAGCAAATAATAATAGAAAAAAAAGGAAATATAAATCAAAAGCCTGAAAGGCTTCAATGGCGTCGAACAAGAAAAACAATTTCAAAAAATCTGCAAATAGGTCAAGTGAGTGACTCAAGTAACATAACAATAAAATTTAAAAAATAGTCTTAACACAAATACAGTATAGGGCCTATAGCCTTGTGTCCTGGTCCGAATGAGTCAGGGTTCGAATTGACCAGACATCGTCAGAAATGTCCATCCTCTATATTAATCTAATTTCTTTTCAGTCAATCGAAGACATATGAAGGGTTTCATAATTTATTTTAATTAATTGCCATTGTCAGAGTGTTGTTCTGTTGTATAGTGATTGCATCTTAACTACAACCATGACTCTAATGTTACAAGTACGATCGACTTACGATAAGGTGCGGTAAACAAATGGAGGAAATGGATCAATACAGTAATACTGGCATTACTGGTCAATATCATAGGTTGTTCGGCTAAAATTGGATTGAAGATCGTAAAAGTAAAGCTAAAAGAAATTCAATCTTTATAGTCTTGTTGTATTCGTGTTTGTTTTGTTATTATTTTACAGTATTTAAATTTGTTTGTATTACAGTAATCGGTCCCAAAATGTGATTCATGTCATTCGACGCACCCTCTCAGTAGAAATTCATCCGCAACAACCATAACATTTTTTTGCGTAAAAATTAAACATAATATCGTTGTTTTGTAGTAGTATTAATTGAAGATACAATTGATTTAATTTTATATTCAAGCTATTATTCATTGTGAACGTTTTAAAAGAAATTGGTTTATAGCTGTTGCTATTTTCTATTGCGGATGCATCCACTGACACATACGGTAGCGTAAACCTCACTGATCCCTAGCTGACGATCGGGCAAGCCCGACGCCATAAAAATATAGAATTTATAGGTAATTCAAGTTTTACATAGAAATATATAGGAACAAGAGACCCATGGGCCACATCGCTCACCTGAGAAGCTTTGACCATACTATTCTTAACCAGATTTCTGCCCCTGGAAATACCTATTGTGACCCCATCGTACCCATAGGTCAAAATTTCGACAATTTAAAATCTACACTACCCCAGGATGCTTCTACAAAAGTTTCAGCTTTTCTGGCCAAGTAGTTCTTGACAAGAAGATTTCTTAAAAATTTTCCCTCTATATTTCTAGGTAAAACTTTTATGCCTATTGTGGCCCCACCCAACCCCCTGGGTCATGATTTGAACAATTTAGAATATACACTACCCCAGGATGCTTCCACATAAGTTTCAGCTTTTAAAACCCAGTGGTACTTGAGAAGAAGATTTTTAAAGATTTTTTTTTAAAGACATTTCTATGTAAAAATTTGATTCCCTAGTGTGGCCCCGCCCAACCCCCAGGGGTCATGATTTGAATAATTTAGAGTCTATACTACCCCAGGATGCTTCCACATAAGTTTCAGCTATTCTGGACCAGTGGTTGTTGAGATTTTAAAAAAAATTTCCTATATATTTCTATGTAAAATTTTGATTCCCTATTTTGGCCCCGCCCAACCCCCAGGGGTCATGATTTGAACAATTTAGAATCAACACTATCCCAGGATACTTCCACATAAGTTTCAGCTTTTCTGGCCCAGTGGTTCTTGAGAAGAAGATTTTTAAAAAATTTTTCCTTTATATTTCTATGTAAAACTTTGATTCCCTATTGTGGCCCTGCCCAACCCACAGGGGTCATGATTTGAATAATCGTTAGAATTTACACTATCCCAGGATGCTTCCATATAAGTTTCAGCTTTTCTGGCCCAGTGGTTCTACAGTTCTGCAGCTACATCGTAGAATACTACACATTTTCTGACCAGCAAATAAAGAGCTGCATGTACAAATTACTAACACCATTAGTCCATTACTTTATCCCAAGTTACAAAGGAAAGAAAATGGTTGTGGATATGACTTATAAGTAGAAGGCACCCAACCTCCATTCCAAGGGTTAATTGTATTAAGATAGACACTGACCAGTAAGAGAAAGAGAGGAAGGCCAAAACCTGGCCCCGGGATCATGAAACGTCTTAAGCTAAAGTCAAAATCTTCATGCTGTATTTAAATTTTGTAGAAGACAAACAGATCAAAATTGAAATGTGTTTCAATTTTGATTTATAACAAAATGTGTTTGTGAAACACTATGTGCCCGGAGGCAACAAAATTCAAAAAAGCTATTTTTAGCATATATGTCACAGTCAAGGTCACAAGGTCATTGACCTTGGTGTCGTTTGAAAGAACTTTATTAGTGAAGTATGCATACCAAATATGAAGTCTCTATCTTTTATGGTTCAAAAGTTATAGCAAACGTTAAAGTTGACAACAGACAGACAGACAAACAGATAAACAGATAAACAGACAAACAGACAGGACAAAAACAAAATACGCCCTGGATCTATCGATCCAGGCGTATAATAAAAATGTTCATTGTTGATATTTGCAAATTTTCAGATCAATTCAAATGTTAATAAACATATGTTACAGGCGATTGAAAATTTGATTTAAGTCTAAGTCTGTTTCATGATCCTGGGGCCTAGAGAAGGTTGTTAGAGAAATATATAGAAGAGAACAACTGGTCATTGGGAGAAGTCCATAGATGGACACAAGATAGACCAACAAGGAAGTCTATGGTGACAGTCTTATGTGCTGACCATCATGAAGAGGACTAAGACTAATTAAGTAGATACAAGCTTTTATGTTTTATTCTATTCTTCTTCACTGAAAAATGGTTGACATGCTCAGATTTACATATTTTTTCAACTACTCTGAAATTGACATTATCTGTCATCTTGATCAAACATATAAACTGTGTATATGAGGCTAGCTGAGGTGGATTGAAAATGAATTTCGAAATACAGAACATGTACTAGAATATTTCAATCCAGTGCTTTCTAAGACGCAAGTAGAGAATTTGTACCAGCCCATTTCATTTCTATCATAAAATGGTTTGACTGTTGCAAATATGAATGACGTAAACCTGCATATATCTAATTGCAATTTATTTGCCTGACGGTGGGGCAGTGGTTTGAGTCACAGAGTAAGCGGCTTAATTGAATCAAACCCGTTTACTTCTGCAGGTCCTTCAAGTTTGAGACCGTATAAATCAAGGTCCCATGTCGCATTAGGTGTTGGCAAAAAAAGAAAACCTCTATCACTTATAACTCAATGCACATTCCTGTTTGAATGTCGAGTAGATTGTATATCAAATATGGGTTTAAGTTAACTTTGCAGTCCTCCACCGACACGTGTTGGCATCTTAATATGAATGAAAAATTCTAGAGGAGCGTTTTACCTTTAGAAAAAAAGAAAAGTTACTAAGCCTTTTAAAAGTATTACATGTGCGCAACGAAAGACTCCTTTACCGATCAATGATTTTTGTGTTTCTGATATGTTTCAATAGATGGTTTTCCTATGACATATTTTGCCCTTACCCGCCATCTTGTAGGGCAAAGCAGTGAATTTTCTTCTTTCAGCAACCAATTTTAAACATGCATGCCAGAAATATATGGTTGGAAATATTCACAATCTTAAAATTATATATAATCTGGGAATGTTGCCCTAAAATATGGCGGCCATCATGGGGAATAATTCCTGTTAAATCGCCTCAATTGAAAACCATCTGTATTTGTTTTGTCATACAGTCTATCGGTTAAGTAGAATAGATTATTAGATACATGCAATTTGTTTTAATTGAGGCGATTTAACAGGAATTATTCCCCATGATGGCCGCCATATTTTAGGGCAACATTCCCAGATTATATATAATTTTAAGATTGTGAATATTTCCAACCATATATTTCTGGCATGCATGTTTAAAATTGGTTGCTGAAAGAGGAAAATTCACTGCTTTGCCCTACAAGATGGCGGGTAAGGGCAAAATATGTCATAGGAAAACCATCTATTGAAACATATCAGAAACACAAAAATCATTGATCGGTAAAGGAGTCTTTCGTTGCGCACATGTAATACTTTTAGAAGGCTTAGTAACTTTTAATTGTCAGTAAAAAATGATTTTTTTTAAAAGTATAAATATAAAACATACTTACTAGTTTGTTAACTGGTGGCTTTAAATATTTAGTGTACAAAATCATACGTGTCTGTTATGACGCTGTGGATGTGTATCCACAGTAAACAATATAATGTTTATAAAAATACGGGTGCGTCGATTTACCCAAAAGGACCCAAAAGAACCCAAAAGGAACCCAAAAGGACCCAAAAGGGAACCAAATGACTCAAATTAACAAATTATGATACATTGAAATTAATAATTTGAATTATGAATATTATATTACAAGTTTACATAAAAGTTGGCAAAAGCCAAAAACATGTATTTATCTTGTTGCAACTTTTCTTAAAGAAGTAACATAAGACTTTCATAGCATATCAAACACTAAATATAGTCAGATATGCTTTGATTTCTTTTAGCATCTTTTAACATCTTATATGATTTACAACATGGGTTCAGGAAATCAAGATCTTGTGAATCACAATTATTAGATTTTATCCAAGAACTTACATACAAAAACAATAATAACATACAAACTGACTTAATCATAATGGACTTTGCTAAAGCCTTCGATAAGGTTCCCCATCGTCGCCTCATGTATAAATTAAATTTCGATGGTATAAGACAACATACTTTAAACTGGATTCATGATTTTCTATCAGATAGAACACAAACAGTAGTTATAAATGGCATTTCCTCTACTTCTGTACCTGTCACTTCTGGCGTTCCCCAGGGAACAGTCCTTGGACCTATCCTCTTTCTCATTTATATAAATGACTTCCCTGAATATCTCAATCATAGTAAACTAAGCCTCTTTGCTGACGATAGTATCATAAAAACACCAGAAGACTGTCACAAACTACAATCAGATTTAGATGCAGCTGCACGGTGGGAGTCTGACTGGCTTATGGCTTTCCACCCAGACAAGTGTACTAAACTCACTATCTCTCATAAGAAACAGACATATTCTCATAATTACATTCTACATAATCATGTACTCAGTCAGTAAGTTCAGCCAAGTATTTAGGTGTAACACTACAGTCAAATCTAAAGTGGAACAAACATTATGATAATATTATTGCAAATGCAAATAGATCATTAGGTTTCCTTAAACGTAATTTAAAAATTTCCAATACAGAAGTAAAATCCAGAGCCTACCAATCAATAGTGCGTCCTAAACTAGAGTATTGTTGTAGTGTGTGGGCCCACATACAAAACAGTATAGACAAAAACTTGAAATGGTACAGAGAAGGGCCGCTCGCTATGTGACTACACGGTAAAAAATGCGCTTAGAAAATAAACACTTCCGTTACGTGTTTTGACCTAAACATGTATAAGATTGTGTTTAACGACTAAACACTTAGGTCTAAACGTGTGTTATATCTAAATGATGTTAAGATTTAACATATGTTTAGATATAAGTGTTTAGAAATTGAACACTTCTCTGTGAAGTGCAGAGTTATCTTCCTGGAAATGACGCATATAAATTCGAATGATAAATAGAGCGGTTATCGAAACAAAGAAAATCCCAATGTAAGCTAAAGAAGATGGATTAAAGGATGTGAATGCTAATCAAAGTGACAATCATGAAGAGATTGTGAAATGCATTTAAAATGCAACATTATTACGATAAAAGGTATGTTTACTATTATTTTTATTCTACATAAATTGACCACGATGGGCTACGTAAATAGATATGCGGTTACACATATACATGTAGTTGTAGATCAAGATTCCCTTCGGTTATATTTTGCATTCCTGAAATCTAGAAAGGAGTACAATTCATAGAATGTCATAAATAATATCTATATCGGTATCAGTACTCTATAACATGTAGTGGTTAAGTGAAGTTCAATAAAATTAGCACAATAATAGTTATCAAACATGTGAAAAATTTCATACAACTCCAGCCAGCGAAGGGCATATCTTAATAAAATTTGAATTTCTTTCTTACAGTTTATGGTCCACATGGAACTTAAAAGCAAAAATACTAGTATTAGAGGAACTGCGGCCTTCTCCATGTCCACAATAACATGCCAACGTTCTTACATTTTTCAGCACTTCTTACTTTCTAGAGGAAATGGAATTTTGTGAAGTCTGCTGTTCGTTATAGCTTTGAACAACCCAAAAACATTCTTAAAGTATGGAAGTGGATTACTTACTGACGGTCACGGATGAAAACAATTATGCGTGTGTTAATCAGTGAAAGAATTTCTGGAAGTTAAACTTGATACAGACATGAGGAATAAGTACTTGCTACGCTGATTAAAATTAAAACCAGCGTGTGAAAATATGTATTTAAACATTTGTGTATATTTAGTTAAAAATTCTTTATATGTTTGAATGTTCATTGAATAAAATTTAACATGTAAACAATTGTTATATTTTCAGTTTTCTTGCAGGAAGACAATGAAAACATCCAAGTGTTTACTTTGTAAACATGTATCATACTATGTTTTGTAAAATGTTTAAAGCCTAAACATGTAAGTGTTTAGGTTCTAAACATGTAAGTGTTTAGGCTCTAAACACTTTCCGTTACACGTAATGAAATTCAATGTGTTTAGAATTTCAATGCATCAAAAAAAGTGTGACAAGAATGTGCTTAGGAAAGTGTCTATCATCTAAACACATTTTTTACAGTGTAACACTTACCACAATACTAGTAGTGTAACAGACATGAATAATACACTACAGTGGCCAACACTAGCCTCAAAACAAGATTAATAATGTTCTATAAAGTAGTTCATCAACTTGTCGCTATACCAACACAAATACTCATACCTACAGACACAAGAACTAGACAAAATCATTCACAAACATACATACACTTACCAGCATCAAAAGATACATACAAATGGTCATTTTTTTCCTCATACTATAATTCAATGGAATTTGCTCCCCCAATCTGCTGTCCAAGCCACTAACGTTGACATTTTTAGGGAACAGCTAACCCCAGCTGTTCTCAACACTATCATGTAAAAGTAAAACAATTAAAATTTTTCTTTTAATCACTAATGTAAATAAAATCACATTTCTTTTTTTCTTTATATTGTTTCTATTTATATAAGTTTAGGTCACGCATGCGCACCAACAAGTAATCTTCAGTACTCTGAAGTTTTGTTGGTAAACAGAAGAAGAAGAAGAAGAAGAAGAGCTGAAATTAACAAAGTATTATTCTATTTCTCTTCTGTTTTACCACATCTTACTATAAATCATATTTAATAAGTGAAAAAAAAGTCTTATTATACCCCCCGCTTGAAAAGCGGGAGGGTATATAGTAATCGTTAATTCCGTCCGTCTGTCCGTCCGTCCGTCCGTCCGTCCGTCTGTACGTCCGTCCGTCCTTCCGTCCGTCTGTTACGCTTTGGGGTACCCATCTCTTATCCGCAACTCCTCTCATACCACTGAATGAAATTTAATGAAACTTCACAGAATCTTTATCACATATTGCCATTGTGCACCTCCTATTTTGCTTTTTGATCCGACACATATTTTGGGTTTCCCGACCACAGCAAAACATGGACTTTGCAATTATAACTATATGTAGGCGGGGGGTATCATTTAGTGAGCTCATCGCTCACAGTACCTCTAGTTTTATGACATGTTCTAGACATATGATATCGGGGGTGGATGGGGTGGGGGGGGACCTCCCACCCCAACCCCAAACAGACACTTTCACCTCAAAAAACTAGTTTTAGTTTTAATAGAATATGAAAGCATTTATTATATATCCATTTATTTTCTTTATTTCAAGTCCTTTTAGGTTGTTCTTAATTTCCTTTTTTTTGGGTTCCTTTTGGGTTCTTTTGGGTCCTTTTGGGTAAATCGACGCACCGTAAAAATACGGAATTTACTAAAGACCTGATCGATGTACAAAAGACCTGACTAACATGTATGCCGACAGTATGCCTTTTTTTTTTTTTTTTTTTTGGTAATACGGTGATTATCTCCGGTGAAGTACAATATTAATTGATTACTTAGGACTTGTATAATTATGATTCATCTGTTTTTCAAGGATGAAATAAAACAAAATCGTAATGCCACCTTTCATGATTTTTATTTTGAAACACCAGGACACAAATTTTTATAAGCAACGTTAAATATAAAAAAAACAACACACAAGCAATAAGGGTCCCAATTTCACCAATTCTCTTTAGAGAGTAAATTTTGTCCATTATCAGAACTCTGATCATTGTTTATTTATAACCGCAGAACAGAAGCTATAAATACCAACTGTTAAAAAAAAGGAGCCACTTTGCTTTCGACGCTACATGTTATTTAGTAGACCGCTCTTAACATGCTTAATCCATACATGTGTTAGCATGGGTGTTGTGCTTTCACATGCTAAAAAAAACTCACATATCCTGCATGTGTGCGCTTGATATAAATGTTTACTGTTTTGATAATATAAAAATAATCCAGCCTGCATGTATGGGTGCGTTTGATTTACTGATAACTTTTAAACTAATCTATACCACATGTATAAAAAGTCGCACTGTATAGTCAATTGCACTTGTAGATATGCATTATAATGTGTTATAGTGTTACTATATAAAATAAAAAATATCGTTGAAAAAAAAAAACGAAATTCCGAGACTGTCGGGCGTCGGGAAAACTAGATTTATCACGTACCATCTTTCCGTACAGTACGTCGATTTACCCAAATTGACCCAAGAACCCAAATGGAAATCAAATGGACCCAAATGGAATATAATGAATATACATTATCGTATTCTCAAGTTGTTACTTATTGAAAAATAATGAACTTAACAAAAAGAGAATATTTACTATTCATTTCAAAAATTGATTTTGAAATAAGATTTTTTTTCTATTTGTAATAAATTCCGCACGCACATCATTGAATACAAAATTGAAGTATAACGTTATAGGCCTTCGGTTTTCATGGGTAAATCATGGTCAGGTTAGCACCCGGACCCTGAAACCATGGAAACTCCGGTGAGGTGCTTTTCCAAAATACTAAAATACGCCTGTCGACGCCTGCCAAAGGGAAAATACGAGTGCTGAGAAGATCTATTAAATTCGCCTGCCGTGTTATTTATCGAATTAATTTTTTTTGTTAGATATATTACTTTTACAGACCTTGTAGTTGATGTTTTAGGAACAAAATATAATTTTAAA